TTGTGTTACCAAATGGGAAAGCACTCATAGTCTATTTCTTGCTGGAAAGTATCTCCTAAAAGGAAAGCATCTTTTTTCAGATTTTTAAAAGTGTTCCTAAGACACTTCATGTCGTCTATAATATCCTACAATTAGGGGTTAAAAATCTCATGATTTTAGGCTTGAAAAAGAATGTTTAATTGTTCAGAGAATAATTTAGTTAATCGGCGTAATTTTGCATCGATGCTTAATATCAAGTCTTATCATAAATATAAAAAAAATATAGAAAGAAAGAGAAAGTTATAAGATAATCGGTTATTCGTCATTTGATTTGATATAATCATCATGATTTTATTCGAAATAATAAGAACTTACAATTAGTCTTCTGATCATCGCAATGCTGTCATCAATCGCGATGTTTTTGAACTCACTATTTTCTATTTTTTTCAGGCACAGATCTCTACGAAAGCGCGAGACGTCGAATGTAAGGAAACTCGTGCGAAATCATACGATCATATTTCGACGATACCCATTTTGTTCAAGCAAAAAGATGGTAACAAACACAGACAGAGAGCGAATTCTTCGGGGCCCAGAAACCGTACGACACATCGTCCTCGTAAGGGTAGAGGATTTCGGCGGAAGACGGTTCCATCTGTCATAAAAATTCCCGAGGGCAATCTTTATGAGGAAAAGCGCGAGCATAAAAGCATTAATGTATGGAGTTACAAGGGCAAAAACGATGACGTGAACGACATACATCATATTCGCGAAACTCTTGATAATTATTATCCGTTTCACGGAGGATTGGAGTCTATCCTGGCAAGATTAATCGAAGCGCTGGAGAATACTGGAAATGTGTCGAATTCGAACGCGCCGAATCCGGACGTATCGAACTCGAGTGCCATCGATGACATGAGCAGCATCGACGATGAAGATCGCTGTCAGAAGTGGCTGGACAACAGGGAGAAGATCGAGAATGCCTTTCCGGGTAAAAACGAAACTTCATAAATCGAGCTCGCTAAATGCAAATTTGACGAGAGTACGATGGATGACGTCCGACGTGTGTTTGTGTGGGTGTGCGTGTCCGCAGGATCCGTCGCCGACTTGCCAGCGTGCCCCTGCCTGTATCCGAACATCATCTTCTACGACAACCAGATCTGGGATAAGAAGCGAAAGAAGAAGTATCGATGGCGCGACGTGAGCCACGACAAGGACCGGCTCGCGATCTACAAACCTGGCGCCGCTTATTGCGTGCAGACTCTAGCGTCTCAGCAAAGTGAGAGCGCTATCGTGCAACACTGTTGCTACGATGAGAATAGAAAACTACTGACCCGTGGCTCCGGCACCGGCACACCGTACATCGTCAGTCCGGAAATCTCGCCTCTGCTGCACGACAAGATCGACTTGTTGCCTTGGCGACTTTGTAAGGGTGATTTCACGAGGTACCTATTCTCGCCCAACACACACACACACACACACACAAACCCACCAAGTCGAGAGAAAGTCAAAATAATGATTTCTTTTATTACAAAATTTCACTCTTGTTTATTCGTAAAAGATCCAAATAAAATTCTACTGTTATACGATAAGATATACAAAGCTGGTTTGGCAGGCAACGTTAACGAATGAGATCGAACATAGAGTTATGATAGAATGTTTATTATCTCTTGATATGGTTCATATCGCTTGTACACTTTTGTATATATAACCCTTCAGAGACGGCATCTTGTCATTCGTCTTACGTATTTTTATTACGTTACAGGTACAACGAAGTGAGAATACCGAATAACGATAATGACTGCGAGATAAATCCGGATGATGAAGAGTATCAACGTCAAGTGGAAAATGCGAAAGATTATTGAGACACGATACCACACACGTCGCAATTGTACCAAAAAAGAGCAATAACTTGCCTAAGTTTCCACTTCAATTGTGTTCCCAAAAGAGAGTAGTCTGAAAGATTTATATTTATTTTCTATTATTTCTTATTTCATTAAATCTCTTTTCGTATATTACATTCTAGTTTTGTATCAATATACCATGTTGAAAAGATCATGTAAAGAACGCCGTGTGTTGATTGATCACATAAAAATTATTTTCTTCTTTCGCGTGATGTATAAATATTACGACAATTATTGAATTGATTAAACAGCGATGGGATATTAACGAAATCCCAAGCTGCTTACTTTTCTTAGAATGAGAGAAATAAAAAAAAGATTATGTGCAATATCACACGGTGTTCCACATACAAGTATTATTCATTTATAATTTATTAGGAATATTTAAGGAATAATAGCTAAACAGTGTAAAAAAAAATAAAATCTTGTTTTGTACATCATACAACTACTGAAATTATATTCCACAATACAATGTATGTTGTATTTT